TTAATCATGTGTAGAGTTTGAAGTGTTTACAAGGTTCAACAGATACATAGCATTGCATCATGTCATGACTTGATAAGTTCGATCTTCTCTATTGTACTTGATGAATACCGAAGTATTTCTGAGCATAATATTGTACTTATTTTTGATTACATTATTATATATGCAAACTAATTGATGTTCAAGTTTGTTTTTATCATGACAAAGTTGAGGAGATGGCAGCGTGCGCAGGCCTTCCGGCGCGAAAGTTCCCGCCAAATCTATATAGGCCGTAACTTGGTTCGCTTAATATTAAACAATGCAAAATTTCTCTCCAGTTTAATATTTACTTCTTGAAAATAAGTAAAACAACACCGCTTAGAGAGAAAGGAAGATGGTAGAATACATATTTCCAGAAGATGACAACACACAACAATCTTCATATGTAATAAAGTAGAGCACCAATGACTGAACAAAAATATCGTCGCAGCCACAAAAGGAGTAGAAATACAAAACAAAAGGGTTTGTCTTTATCAAGTGATTTTTGATTATTCTCGTCCTGGCATAAATAATGCATTATAGATTCGATTTTTATTACCGTTATTAAGTTATTGTTGTGATTTTTAGCAGTGCCCCCCCTCCCCCCCAAAGATTTTCAGCTTTCGCAGCCCTTGCGCATGTCGGTATGGGCAATGTGAATACAACAATGTATTTTCCTAAACTTTGTCTGCACGTTTTTCCTGTATATTTTCTTCTGCCATATTGAACAACATAAAATTTTCCTAAACTTCTTTTTGTCTGCACGTTTTTCCTGTATATTTTCTTCTGTTTTTTCATTTGCTTTATTTATTTTTTATTAGCTTTACGGCTGGAGTACAAACACTATATATAAGTGTGCAACAAGAAATACCACTAAATACAGCTAAATTATGCTAATCCTATTGTTTTCTATTGTTTAATTAGCACTATTTACTACTAAATAGTGCAAAGTGTTGTACACTTTTAGTGTTTGTACTCTAGTAATTATTAAAAAGTAAATTAAGAAAAACACTAGTTGAGGGAAAGAACAACAGGGCAAGAGTCCCTTATAAAGTTCCTCCAAAATAACCTTTCACAAACACTTAATACTAATAAGAAACATTAAAAATAGAAACCGAAATATTGACATATATCCATCAAAAACTACGAGCAGCAGGTGATATTATATGAGCGGCATTTAGAAAAGTAATACCCCATTCACACCCAGGCTTAAACATGTTTTAAAGTGGTTTAACTAAACAGGTTTGAAAAACTATCTACGAAGACTTGATGCATGATCGAGATCGTGCGATTTCCTATACTAATTATTCTCAATGTTGGAAATAAAACATGAAATCAGAGTTAATAGCGATTAACTTAAATGAAATCAATACAACAATAGATATCCCACAATCCTTTGCATCGTATAAATTACAGCCAATCCTGTCTTTGCACACACTCGTTTCAACGACCTCAAGATAATATAAGATGTGCAAAAACCGCCCATCTAAACTTGGATGCACCTTTATCTCTGATAAAGTCATCCTCTTCAATATTCTTTTAATAAAGAATACTAAAAAGGATGAAAACTTTATATATATATATATAAACTGCTATAAAAAAACTCATGAATCAAATTCATAGGTCGTTGAATTAATTCATGAGTTTTTGAAAATGTATATAAAACTAAATAAACGTCGACAGAAGTTCATAACTATGTTATGAACTTCTGACGTCGAATATTATGGATATAACAAGTGAATTATTTACCGCTATAAACAGCAGCCACAGATGCTCGGAGTGTTACCAAAAATAGAGAAACGAAAAATAAATTCATTTTATCATAATTTGACGAAAAGATGATATCTAGAAGAAATTTCCGCTTTTCAAAATGGCTTTAAGTTTAAATCCAATGGATCTTGATTGACCACGTTTTATACAAAACCGGCATGTTTTTCCTGCATTTTATGTTACCTTTTGCGTTATGCCCGTTTTCRATTTTTTTTAGCTTTTTTCTAAGCCTTAATTTACAGTATTTCCATTTACTGAGAGTGCTTTATTTTACTGTGACGTTTTTAGCTTTCATGAGTATTGATTCAAATATCGAAAACTTGAACCAAAGCAAAACAAAAACATCTAATTTAAGCATGAAAATACGTAAAACCACATATTAAAACCACTGAGTGATGGTAATGTTAATCATAACATCTTGATTAGCAAAACAACAACAAAAACAACGCAAAACATAATAACACGTCCAACCACATGATATGGAAACC